TATATATATATATATATATATATATATATATATATATATATATATATTTGTCGATATGCACACATATATACATGTATATGTATGTATATCGAAATTACCTGAGTCAATACAAATCTGTTACTAATGACATGCTCAAAACAGCCCTAAAGCTGCATTTAAAACCTCAGAATAACATTTGCCGCAGAAATGAATCAGGGATATTGTTGTTGTGGCTTCATAAGAGCAGCAGCTGGTCTCAGTGGCGGTAATGGCTTGAATCGTATTGAGAAAACAAAGTGATCGGTAAAGATGGATGAGAATCTGAGAAAAATCCAAACACACGATCCTTAGCCTGTTTGCAGCTTTGTTTTCTAACCGCCGTTATGTACGTGACAAAGTCCTGACATATCAGCAGAGTTTACCGTTAAAGTGGAGCCTTCTGATGTTTATGCGCTCCCAGATACTGCAGCAGTAAATATTATTCTAACTACCACATTAACTACCGCAGCCCATTATTAACAATTACAGTACAATTGATAAACTAATTAAAACAACAACAACAACTGTTCCCTCCAAGCAGGATTTAGATATCCTCATTAAAGGTGCTATTTGTTCTTAAATCTGCATGTGGGTATGCGCTCCTTTCCCGAGCTTCTGAGACCTTCAGGAATCTGCAAACTGATTTAAAATGCGGCTATAAGCCTGGAAGGAGAGTCAGATCCACGGGGACCGCTCGGCTGGTGGTGCCCCGAGTTCAAACCCAACAAGGTGAAATTGGGGCCAATTGCCGGTATGAGCTCCCCCGTCCAACACGGGCTTGCTATTTTATACTATATACTGCTATTGCTACACTATTTTAGCTAAACTTTTAGTCCAAAGTGACTGACAAGGTGAGGAGCCCAGCGAATGTAGGCTAAGCTTTAGAGTCCTGCCCAAGGGCACTTTGTCCAGGACTTGGTGCTGGAGTATAATGGTAGTATTACCAAATATTAAACTATTAATAAATATTAGACTCAATTTTTCATTTAATCTTATTTATGTGTGGATATATTTGAATAAATTGCTCAACCTTTAACCTGTTTTACAAGCAGCACACGCTACCGTGCTGTTTGTCTTTCCATACATCGTGTTAAACACTTTGAGTAAGCTTTGATTTGACAAAAAGCTATCAGGATGGGGTTGAGGAAGTTTCCCATTCCCAAGACGTTTGATTGCAGAGCTTATTTCCTTGATGCTTCGCTTTATTAAAATCCGAGTGGACTCAAACTGTTTCTGATTCGCTTTGAAAGCTGTCAATAAGGTGAATACGCATCCTTACAGCTTACAAAATGTGAAAAAATGTACAACCTGCTGCCAATAATGCACATACAGAGTGCTAAAAAAAGATCCCGGAAGGAGAGAGAGCTGAAAGGGGGAAAGCTACTGGTGTGTTTCAGAGGCTGAGGTTTGACAGAAACACAACACAGACAGACTCTGCACACCATCACAAGCTTTTAGATCCATATTGTCGGAGAAGTTGAGACCCTGCTTTTTCTTTAAATCCAAAAACAGACTGCAGATCTCAGTTTATTCAAATGAACAATGAGCCAATTTGGTTTGAATAGAAAACAGCAATAATAAAAAAAAAAAACGTTTCAAGCCACATAGAAGGGATTTGGACTAAATGGATGGATGCTTTTCTGATGGATGCAGAAAGATCTGTGTTCTATGTCTTCTAACGAAACAATAAAAAAGGACTATGTGGGCACCAAAGTCCACAACCCAACTGTGTGTGAATTAATTGAACTAATAGAAGCAGATTTTTATGGACAGAATGTGATTTACATATTAATAAACTCAGTTTTGACACTGATGCCATCTGGCATTGGGACCAGTGAATCACTAATGTAATTCTGATGATCACAAGAGATTTTTCGTCCCAACTAAAGAAACCACAAAGTGCACACAGAGGCGTGTTCAGTTGTACAGATGACTGAGGAATGATCTTAACGATACCTTTGTCTTTTTCTCTGAGGTCGTTGAGGTATTTCAGGAGCTCGGCGTTGGCCTGGACACAGTACACCTCCCTGGTCTGCAGGCCCCCGCCACAAAGCCCCGTCATGTTGCTACGGCGACGGTCCTGTTGGCTCAGCAACACGTCCACCCGACAGTCGTTCCACTCGGTGGTTCTCCAGGTGTAACTGCCGGGTAGACACACAGAACAGCAGGAACCGACGAGTGAGAACCAATGAAGTAAAACCTCATATCAAAAACAGAAGATTTCAAATGTTTGTAGCGTCAACTATATTTAAGCCATTATTTTATGCCAGTTTTTTTTATTTATTCATGGCATGAAACAGGTTCTTAAAGAGGCATCATTTCAAAGGGTATTAACAGGTCATTTTGACAATAATATGTGTCTAAATTATCTAATGTGTCTAAATTAGAGGATCTACAGTTTTCTGCTCCAATAGAAATCTATTTCTCCCATTGCTGTGCAGAAAGTTAAGTTAAAGTCTCTGTGGAATTTTTTTTTTTTTTACAGATCACTGCCATCCAATTAGTCAGTACTCCAGTTATTGGTTGAAATTAATACGTTTTTTCAGCTCCATATGGTTCGTTCAGCAGGTCATAATAAAAGGTACAGAATTTCTATAGAAACAAAAATAGAAAACCTGAAAAATGCTCAACAGCACATGTGACCCGTTTGAGAGAAAATTACAAACTTTCCGGAAATCCATAAGCCTCTACACTGAAACAGCCCTCAGACAATGATCTGGATTGAAACTGATCCGTCTCAGATCCCCATCTGAGAACCTGAATCTTTTTTAAATAACCGGGCAGTTCTCTGGGATTCTAAGCACCCTTTTTGTCTCCTTCCAATTGTCTTTACTTTGCGTTTGGCACCTAACCAGGCACTTAAACTGATCTATCTCCGTGTGCTGTCTCAGGAGCACGCACACACTGGTGGGCCGCCCCGGAGAGCCCATTGGCCGGGTGATATGTGCAAGGGGGGGTCAACGGGAAGTGTGATTTGACTGTATTTGCGTCTGACCATGACTGGAGTGCAGATTGAATCCCTTTAATGTTTCACAGCAGCTTTTTAAGCACCCAGTAACAAATATCACTGATTTATTCTCATTACGTTGCATCCTAGAGTGAGTCATGAAACCCGGAATATTCCGGAGGAACTCACGTGGAGCAGGGCGGCACGCCGTTGCCCTCGGGCTCGCAGGGCTCCGTCTCCTCCACCGCCGGGCAGTCCTCCCCCTCCCCCACGGGGAACTGCAGCACCTGTCTGGTCCGGGTGCGGTTCCCCCGGGGAAAGGCCGGGTCCGCGCAGGTCTTGGAGCAGGAGCTCCACTCGGCCCAGTCAGTGACCTGGCAGTTTTTGGGGAGCACGCAGGACTGGATGGTCACCGGCAGGTCCCTCGGCGTGCACAAGCTGCAAAAGAAAAGAAAAGAAAAAAAATGAGTTAAGTTTACCTGGATATAATCACATAAGAACAGATAAAAACTGATTTCAGTTCAGTGACAATGCTGAGATAATGATGCACACTTCCAATGGAGTGAAAATATGGTCAACACCACAGCACTTTTAGTTGTTTCTGTTTGTTTTGTATGTTTTTTGTATTGTTTTATGGCTTTGTTGTAAAGCACTTTGAGTACCATTTGGGTATTGTAAAGGGCTATTCAAATAAACTTGATTGATTGATTGATTGATTGATTGATTGATTGATTGATTGATTGATTGATTGATTGATTGATTGA